CCCCCCCCCCCCCCCCCCCCCCCCCCCCCCCCCCCCCCCCCCCCCCCCCCCCCCCCCCCCCCCCCCCCCCCCCCCCCCCCCCCCCCACCTCCCGGCCACACCCGCCCCACGCTCCCGCCGCCCGCGCGCCGCCCACGCGCTATCCTTCCCATCCCCACCCGGCCAATGGGCGCCCGCGACGTTGGAGCGGCCGGACGGCGCCGGCGCGCGCGCGCTTCCCGCCGGGATTGGAGTGACGTCACCGCCGGTGTGTTGGAAGCGGCGGCGGAGCGGTGAGGGGCGGGTGAGGATCGAGATCGGCCCCGGCACACGGCGAGGCCGCGAGTTCTGCGGGCAAGGGACCGGGGGCTTGGCGGTGTGGGGTCACGAGTCCGGAGGGTGGTCAGGAAGTCCGGGATCTGGAGGTCAGGGGCCTGTGGTCCCAGATCGGGGGATATGGTATGCGGGGATCTGGGGTCTAGTCTGAGGGTCAGGGGTTCCAGGGTCCGGGGATCAGGGATTCTGGGGCTGAAGGGAGCTGGGGGATAGCGGGTCGGTGGTCTCGCCCCACGACGGGGGCTGTGAGAAGCTGTCTTGGCTTCCCTGGTGTGGGTCTCCTGGAGAGGGGATTGGCACCTGCGCTCCACTCAGCCTCCCTTCTGACGCAACCTGCTTCTGTTTCCCCTTGTTGTCCTGCCCATGCTGCCTGCCTGGTGCACACCTTCTGCGGAGAAACTCCTCCGAGCCTTTGGAAGCCGTGGGCATTGTCATCCCTGGCTCTGCCCAGCTCCCCTTCCTTTTGGTGCTCCACTTTTCTGCCGGCAGCCCTGCTCCCAGGCAGCTGTCACGGCAGCCCTGTGGCTGGGGACTACCCTGGCTTTCTGGTTTTGGGTGGGGTTCCAGGTGTTTTTGGGGGTATTATATTTTTTTTCTGTTTCACTCTTTACTTTTCAGACTGTGACACCTGACAGCTGGATGTGAAAGCTTAGCAGTGCTAATGGAGTCACACGATGGATGCCCACGCTCTGACGGCATGAGCGGAGCTTTGGCTCAGGCGAGCCGGCCGGGCTGATCCCAGCCCAGCTGATCCTGGCCCAGCCATGCCCTCTGTGACAGCCATGCCGGGCTGCATCTTCTCAGGGACAGAGGTACCTGGGCCATGTCTGATCCAGAGATAACAGCAGCAGCCTGAGCTGGGGCCAGACAGAGCTAAAGCTGCTGCAGCCGCACACGTGCACAGACACCGAGGCAGGGTTTGACTGCAAGTCCATCGCTCTGTCCTGTCAGCTCCTGTGGCTCCCTGAGCCCCCTGAGCTCTGGGTGATCTCCCTGTGAGAAGGGACACCTCTCTAGGTCACTCCTCAGGGCTGAGAGACCCTTTACCAGGGTCTGATCTCTTCAGCAAGGTAAGGAGCATTTTACTTTTGGCCTAAAAGTGTATTGTGTGCTAGTGATGTTTTATAGATATCCAACTGTAGCTTAATTATTACAAGTGTGTTAAGTAGTGGAGTGTTTGACAGCTGTCTGAATTACTAAATCATCATTCAAGTTATTGCTACATCACTCACTAATTACCCTTCAATGATCGCTTAATCACCATCTGATTATTGTTTAATTTCTCTTCAGTCATTGATTAGTTAGAATTTGATTATCACCTAATTGTTAGCAAAATCCTTTTAGTTAACCCCTCAACAGTTAACTCCTCTTAATAATTTTCCTGTGACAGGAGGCTGTCTCTGTTGGCTGCACAGTGGGGGTTTGGCACTTTTGGGCTTCTATGGAATAGCAGGATCTTGCATGCTTTCCATACCAGAAAGTTTGGGGCTGTTTTGCTTTTCATCTCCTTCCTGCAGCTTTTTGTGTGCTGGCTTTTGTGTTCTGGCTCCTGTGGCTTGGTCCCAGCAGCCCAGTGGGGAAACTGGCATGTAGGGACCACCAGTACTGCCGTCAGAGCCTTGTTGAGGAAGTACTTGGGGACTGGTCATCACTGCAGGGCCCTGACAGCTGTTGACATTGCATGGGGAGACTTTTTCTGTAGGGTCTGAGGGGCATCTCGAAGCAGTGCCGGTGTCTCCCCTTGTACCTCTGCTCACATTGAGTGTCCTGCTCAGATGTCATGCCCAGAGGGACTGGATGCCTTGGCAGACATGGATCTGCTTGACTTTCTCCTGAAGGATGATGCTCCCTGCCCTGAAATTCCAGAGGAGCAGAATGGTTTGATGGAAGACTGGGTCCTGCCAACACCCGAGGTGAGTTGTCTGGGAGAGATTGCTGCTGGGTTGAGATTCAGGAGGTTTGTGTCCCTGCTGAGCAAAAGCTGTTCCTCTGCAGCTCCTGGACAAGGAGATGGATGACTTCATCAGCTCACTGCTGAGCCCCTTAGAAGATGAACCAGGCATGCTTGATTATTTGCCTGCCAGCAGTGACAGCAGCATTTCTGAGGATCAGCATCTGTCCCCTTGCCCTGGCAGCAGTTTTGCCAGCAGAGACATTGTGCAGGTTGATCACAACTATTCCCTCCACTGGCCTGTGCTGGAAAGCGTGAGGTCTGACATGGCAGAAGGAGATGTTACTATTGAGCTGGGTGAGTGATGTGTGTTGTCTCTTTCTGTCTTGAATACAGATGAAAACCAGTCCCACACAGAGGGTTTTTTGGGTGGGTGCCAGGCAGTGGTGGAGAGAGCCAAGTCCAGGGGCTTTCTGCTGCCATAAAATTGTGGTTTTGTGCTACTCAAAGTGGTTAATCAGGTGCTGCCTCACTAAGTCCAAGTGCCTGACTCTCCTTTCCTTCCCCAGGGACATGGGTGGATTTGGAAGGCACAAGCCAGGCACTGGAACGGAGCTCCAGTTCCCCCATTGCTGTTGGTGTGGAGTCTGAACCCCAGCTTGTGCCTGGAGCCATCGTGCAGGTACTGACTGCCATGCCTGTGGACCCCCACCATTGCTTTTGCTCATGTCCCTCCTCTTCTGGCTTGGCTCCTGTGGGGGATATCTCTGAGGGAAAGCACAATGCTGCTTTGGGAGAGCTGATCCTGATTCTGTGTGTTTGCTGCATCCCCTCCCTGCCCTGTACTTTGCATTCTCAGCATGTGTATTTTTGCTGTTTTCTAGTGTGATTTCCCGGAGCTGGTCCTGACGGAGGAGGAAAAGCAGCTTCTGGAGAAAGAAGGTGTTACATTACCAACGTGTCTGCCACTGACCAAAGTGAGTCCTTGCTAGAGTCAAACAGACTTGGACCACTTGAGAATGTCAGCTAATGCCGGGATTTGAGAACACAAGACAGTGCCTTGATGAGAATATTGGTGTCCAAGTGCTGTGTTCAGGGTAATGTGCATCAGGGCTTGGTATCCTTTTCATCCTTTCGAGTCAGGGGATGTCCATGTGCACAGCAACTTCTGCTTTCCTAGTCAGCTGGATAAAAAACCCAATGAGACCTGGCTGCTGTGAGTCTCCACACTCATGACTGCTTGCAGGAGGCAGATATGCCACAAATAGCTCCAGCCCTGTTTTTTTTGCTGACTAGTGGCTTGTGAGACACGTGGTTTTTATTTCCCTTTGGTCTACCTCACTTTTGCTACACCTTGGAAGCTGCTGGCCACATCAGCAGGCCAGAGTTTGCCTTGCAGTTCATTCCACAGTGTGGGAGGGACAGAAGACACAAAGCACTTGGGCCGGGCCCTGAGATGTGTGTGGGGTCTGGGTGGGTGGGATTGCCTGTACCCCAGGGTGGCTGTTAACAAGAAATGACCCTTTTGCAGGCTGAGGAGCGAATTCTGAGGAAAGTGCGCCGTAAGATCCGGAACAAGCAGTCAGCTCAGGATAGTCGTCGCCGGAGGAAGATCTATGTGGATGGCCTGGAAAACAAGTATGGGTACACAACAGTGTCATTCAACACTGAGGGGTTCTTTTAGGGATCCTTGGCAGAATGACGATGGCACTAAATCATGGTTTCAATTACATCCCTTTTGAAATCTCTTTTCTTACCATGTTTTGTTTAGGATAGCACAGAGTTTGTGATTTGGAATGGCACAGGTTTTCTTCAAGTAGAATCAACGTAGTCAATCTATAAACAGTGTAATACAGGACTTATCGTACAACTTAACTTACAGTTTCGAGTCACCTACATCCTAATGCAGCTTTTCTGATCACCTGCACCTTCTGCAGATCAGGTCAGATCTTAGTACATGGTTTTCTGTGTCAATATAATGATCATAACATAGACTCAAAAATTATATATAAAAGAATATGAGTAACTCTCTCAGTCTTGGGAGGAAACAGGCTGTGGTGGACATGTCCCTGCCCAGAAGGGTCCTGGGTCTCACTGTCCAGCAGCAGCTCCAGTCCAAGTTCCCCCTTAGAACTTGCAATTGCTTGATTTTGTGGACAGTGCACTCTGTGCTGTTGTGCTTCTCTGCTCTGTGACAGGGCTGGCTGGGTGCCTGGGATCTTCAAGGCTGGTAAGGGAAACAGAGTAACAGGCCTAGTGCCCAAGAACCTTGAGGCTGGCAGAGAGGAAAAGAAGAAATCTATCTGTTTTGGTACTTGGTGTACTGGACCTTCAGGGCCTGATAACAATGGGATGGGAACGAATACATGACCTGCTAGGTCAGAGAAAGGCTGCTCCCCTTGTACATGGCCTTAGTTGTGCTGACCACATTGCCAGGGCCAGGAGCAGGCAGTGCCTATCACAAGCTGCTGTGCTGTTCTGCTGCTGGGCTCTTGCCACCCTGGGCAGAAAGTGAGGCTGACCCTGTGGGGCA